TTCTACATATACAGATCTGTTTAGCTCGGTAAGAGATGAACTGGCAAGTTTGGAAAGTGCATCGGCTTGAGTATTCTGACCCCTTGGGATCAGCTGAACCTCAAAAGTTTTCAGCTCTGCAATGACTGACTTGATCTTGGCAAGATAAGCTATCATGGAGGGCTCTTTGGCCTCATAGCTGCCGCTAATCTGATATGCAACTAGCTGAGAGTCTGTTTTCAGGCAGACATGATCGGCTTCCAGGGAGATGCACAATTCTAGGCCGGCGATTGCTGCCTCATATTCGGCTTCGTTGTTCGAGGCCTTAAAAGAAAATTTTTGTGCATACTCAAAGGATTTGCCTTCGGGGGAAGTTATCACTACTCCTGCCCCCGAACCGTTTTCGGTGGAAGATCCATCCGTAAACACGGTCCAGACTTTCTTTTCATTGTCTAGCGCTTCTTGGTATGAGCATTCGGCCAAGAAGTCCGCTAGAGCTTGAGCCTTAATGGCAGCCCTCGGACGGTAGCTGATGCTGAATTCGGTGAGCTCAAAAGCCCACTTGGCTAGCCTACCAGATTTTTCAACCTTGCCGAGAACTTTTTCCAACGGCTGATCAGTTAAGACCACTATCTGATGGCAATCAAAATAGGGCCTCAGCTTCCGAGCAGCTACTACTACCGCGAAAGCGACTTTCTCGAGTAGAGGGTAGCGAGTCTCGGCATCCGTCAGTGTATGACTGACAAAGTAGATCGGTTGCTGACTTTTACTTTCTTCCTTCAGCAGTACTGCGCTGATGGTGGCTGGGCTAACGGCCACATACAGGTACAAAGTTTCTCCTTCAGCTGGGCTAGCCAGCGTTGGGAGTTGAGCCAGATGCTCCCGAAGCTGTTTAAAGGCGTCTTTTTGCTCTTCCTCCCAAACGAGCTCTTTTGTTTTCGGGAGTTTCAGGGCTTTGAAGAAAGGTAACCCCTTATCCGAAGCTCTGGAAATGAACCTCGAGAGGGCTGCCATTCTTCCGGTGAGCCGCTGAACATCCCGCTTTGTTTTCGGCTCAGGAAGGTCGAGCGCTGCTTTGACTTTGGAGGGATTGGCATCAATCCCCCTTTTGCTGACTATGAACCCAAGGAATTTCCCTGACTTCACGCCGAAGACACACTTCTTCGGATTCAGCTTCATTTGATGCTTCCTTAAGGTGGCGAAAGTTTCAGCCAGGTCCTTAACATGGTCCTCAGGTTTTTTGCTTTTGACGATCGAATCGTCGACATAGACTTCCATGTTTCGGCCCTTTTGATCGGCAAAAACTTGATCCACCAGCCTTTGATAGGTTGCCCCCGCATTTTTCAATCCGAAGGGCATCATTTTGTAATTGTACACCCCAGCGTTCGTGACGAATGCTGTCTTTGCTCGATCGTCGGGGTGCATGAAGATCTGATGATACCCCGAGAATGCGTCCATGAAACTAAGCAAGGCATGGCCACTTGTCGAATCGACTAGCTGATCGATCCTCGGCAAGGGATAGAAATCCTTCGGACAAGCCTTATTTAGGTCCGTGAAGTCAACGCACATCCTCCAGGTACCATTTGCCTTCTGAACCATCACCACATTTGCCAACCATTCTGGATATTGGCAAGGCTCGATGAAGCCTGCCTCCAGCAATTTTTTGACCTCGGCCAAGGCCAAGGCCATAAGGCGAAGGGAAAGTCAAAGGCCTCGGAGCAATCTTCGGCCAGCGACCCAAAGAAGGAAAAATCTGCCTCATACACAGGCAGATACGAGTCCTACACTCCGCTCTCTCTTCCACGCGCCAAAATTTACAGCGTGACGAAGGAGGAGCAGAGTTACTGAAAGCCGAGACCACTCCCAGAGTGGTATCAGCGAAAAAATAAAAATCAGTGGTGCGAGTTCCACGAGTCTTCGGGACACAACACTGAGGAGTGTATCCAACTGAAGGACCAGATAGAGGACATGGTCCGGAAGGGATACTTGAAAAAATACATCGCGGATCACCGCGAGAAAAAAGAATCCGAGAAGTCAGCAAAGGACTCTCGGCAAGACCTCGACTTCCCCCGGAAGAACAGTAAAAAGCCGGAGGGGAAATTCCCTCCGATCAATGTTATCTCGGGAGGAATATACTCTCGGAGGGAGCACAAGCGACACCTTAGAGCTTTGACTCACCAGGTGAACAACGCTGACATTCAATCTCCCCAGTCGCCGGTGCCGAACATGACGTTCACAGCCGCCGACTGCCGGGGGATAACGTTCCCTCACGAGGATCCGTTGGTGATCATCGCCACGGTGGCCAACCACGACGTCAGTAAGGTCCTTGTTGACGGTGGCAGCGGAGCAAACATTCTGTTCCGAAAGGCCTACAATCAAATCAAGCTGAAGCCCAAGCACCTTACGCCGGTACCCTACCCGGTATCCGGGTTCAACGGGGCTTCAACTTATCCAGATGGGAAGGTGACACTTCCTATCACCATCGGCTGCGATGAGGCAGCCAGGAACGTCATGATTGAATTTTTGGTCATTGACGCTCCTTCAGTGTACAACGTGATTTTGGGGAGACCCATAATTCATGAGATCCAAGGGGTCGTCTCAACTTATCATCAGCTGATGATTTACGTCTCAGACGCCGGCTTCCCCGAAAGGATACAGGGCAACCAAAAGGACGCCCGAAGGTGCAACTACCTCAAGCCATCCAGTAGTCGCCCAGATTACGACAAGGATGAGGAGGAGAAAGAAAAAGAAAGAGAGCCAAGCACAAAAAGGCCGAAAGGCCTAAGTGCTTCGGCTCAAGGATTTGAACCCAGAGGTAAAGGGCCCGAAAGGGAAAATGCTAGCTCTTCAGCTGAACCGCAAGACTCAGAGAGCCAGCCGAAGAACAAAAAGACTGGAACACCTGCTGACATAGGCAGCAGGCCAGATTATGAAGAGTCCAGTCCATCAGCAATGGACATGGACCAACAGACTGAAACAGTTGAGTTGGCCGAAGGAGACGTTGAGAAATGTGTAACAATCGGGATGGACCTTGATCCGAACACCCGTTGTGAACTTATTCAGCTCCTTCGGGACAACAGAGATGTGTTTGCTTTCTCGGCAGCTGATATGCCCGGGATAAGTTCAGACCTCATCTCCCATAAGCTTAATGTTGACCCAACGTGTCGACCAGTAAAGCAAAAGAAGCGGAATTACTCCGCTAATAAGAACCGAAACAGTTATTAAATTGAAGGAATTAGAAGGAAGGACAACGGAGAAATTGAATTTGGAGGGAAAAGTTGTGGTTCCTGGATTTATAGATTCCCATTTGCACTTGCTTTATGGTGGACTACATGTTTATCCGAAAAGCGAATCTCTTGTGGACTCGTCTATGTCTCGGGTTATTGCATGTAATACTCGTTTGAGATATAAATAAATAAATTTTTTTTTATTACTTCACTCAGTTGAATATAAGTAGGGACAAAAGGGTTTGATCACTTTGATGTGTGATAAAAATAGGATTGATGATGGTTTATAAAAGTAATGAAAAAGCAAATTTGACTAAAAGTATTACAAACGAGATTGAGGTCGACTTTTCCAATTGTTACATAATGATATTAACAGTCCTATATGAGTATATATAGTCTTGGTGACTAAAGTTTGATTTATTATTTATTGCGAGTGTAATAAAAGTAGGAAACTTTTATGAAAAGCTTAAAAAAAAAAAAAGTAGATTTTGATAATAGTACTCTTAATATCTTCTAAAACAGCTAAAAACATATTGTAGTATGTTAGAAAATATTATCAATGCATTGCTATTTTGGTAGGATGCAAAAGTGAAGCTGTTTGAACACTAATCTTCCAGTCTATGTGACATTACTGATTACTGCTAAGTGCTAACCTGTTACATGCCACTATATATTTGAAATGCTTTTGGTTGTCAGTGAAATTTGATATCTTTTTATCTCATGTTAAGCAGATGACTCAAGTGGAACTACATGGTGTCAGTACGAAACAGAAGTTTGTTATGAAGATTAAAGCCGCTGTTAAAAGTATGTAAACTTTAAGGAGCTTTATAATACAAAATGGCTGGAACAATTATTATTACAAATTGCTGAATGAAAAATTATTTTTGGGTATCCCATGCATCATAAAGTGGCTTTGCTTTGGATTTAAGAGATTATAAAAACTTAAAGAGATAATATTTAGTGGATAACTAATCTATAAGAGAAGAAGGATATAATTAGCACAGTCAGTTTGAATTCACTTGAATTGAAAGTAGGATAAGTATTGTGAAATAAAGAATGGGTAAATTGTTGTCGTAACCAATCACTTCTAGAGCCTTTGCTCTTCCGTTCTTGAGGGCTATGTTTGCAAATTATAGATGCTTGGACCAAAAAATGACATCTATATGATGGGAAACTGTACTAGCTAGCATCATACCTGGACCAAAAGTAACAAGAACAATTCTATCTTGGTAGTAACCAATAAAACGGATCCTTTTAGTGAGCAGCTGTAGCCTACTAGCCCATGAAGGAATAATATTGGGCACAAGAACAATCTATTGCGACTCTACAACCTGTTGCATCTAATCTTCTTTTATGCGCTGCATAAAGATGCTCCAAAACAAAATAATTAAATAAGATCTTATGAATATACAAGGGAGAAGTTAATTTATGGCATTTGTAATGAAATCCTCAACCTAGTGAACCTACAACTTAGCTTGGTTGGTGGCCTGTCCACATTTCAGCTGCTGGTGGAAGAGAAAAGCTCTCATTTATGAATTTTCCAGGTTTAGATTTATTTACCTGCTACAGGAACTGCCGACATTTTTCTTCTTTCAGTGACCATGTATAAACTCTCTTTATAGATAGTCATAATTGGCTATGTGCACCATTAAGATGATCTGGTTATTCCTTTGATACCGGTTGTCTGTTCAATGTCTCATTTTGTCAAATGTGAACAATTCTACATTAGATTTAGGGTCTGAACATGGATAAAATCTCATGAGATCTTGTGAGACCCTTTCTTATGTGTAAACATTCATGTTGAGAGAAGTACACAATCACTCTTAAATGCAGCAGTGGTTAAATAGGCTTGGTTATGCAACATTTGGTAGTTGAGACTAGGGAGGCTAATGGTAGTATGTGGGTTCTACTTTAAATGGTAGATTTGATAGTTAGATATCCTGATCCCTTAAGAGTATATATTTTGAACCCATGTCACTGGTTACATCTTAGGATTAAAAAAGAACTAGACTTTTATGTATGTTGGAGGATGCACCTTCTGGTTGTTCTCTTTCTTCTCAGTTAATACAATTTTTTTTAAACTTGTCTTTAAAAACATTGCAGGTAAGAAGGAAGGTGTTTGGATTTTGGGTGGTGGATGGAACAATGACCTTTGGGGAGGAGAACTGCCAATGGCAAATTGGATTGATGATATAAGTCCTCAAAATCCTGTAAAGTTAAAACTTCAAATTTGACATGGTTCTTTGCAGCTTAAATACTTTGAAGCTTTAAATATTTATGCTACACTATCTTGCAGGTTTGGCTATCACGGATGGATGGTCATATGGGTTTGGCTAATTCACTGGCAATCAAGATGGCTGGAATCACTCGAGAAACAAAAGATCCTACTGGATTCCTGGTAGATGCTGCAAGACAGCTTATTCTTCCAAGTATCCCAGAACCCACCATTGATGAAAGGAGGGAAGCATTAGTAAAGGCCAGCTATTATGCTTTGACCAAAGGTGTAACAACAGTGGTTGATATGGGAAGATATGTTCCTGGTTCTTCATCAGAGTTACCATGGCAAGATTTTACAGGTTATGAAGTACACAAATTTTGCTTATATGTTCTCTATTTCCAAAAGTTTTTTCCTTTATAATGTTGTTATCTTGTTTTCTCTTTCTTGAAATATTTCTTGGTTTTTACACGCTATTCTCATATTGTATCCGTTTTTTGTATGCTATTTGAATGATCATTTTAATATTATCTGCACAAATTGTGTTTCCTCTGGACAGAGCTTTTAGTCCAATGGCCAAGTGATTAATTAAAATCCCTACAAGAGGAATGCAGTTCGTGATATTTTGTTTTTTAGTTTGATAATTTGCTTGTTGACCTGACCATGTGTTAGTTATTATAGCAATCAAATAATTCTAACATTTTTCTTTTCTTGCTGAATGTTTAAATTGAATTTTCCCCTTCATATGGTTTGGCAGATGTCTACAACTGGGCAAATGCTTCTGGAAATATGATGATCAGAGTTTGTTTGTTTTTTCCCCTTGAAACCTGGTCACGCGTATCTGTATGTACCACTGTACTGTTATCAAAAATATTTATTTGGTTTTTTTTTATTCTTTTTGAAGATATCCAGTCAATCTATTTTTTTTAATTATTTACTATGGGCTTACATATACTGCTTAATCAGGATCTTGTGCAGACGACAGGTCGTATGGTTAGCAAATGGCTTTACCTTAGTGGTGTCAAGGCTTTCTTAGATGGAGCGTTGGGGTCTAACAGTGCCCTCTTTTATGAGGTTAGCATGTACGAGCTAATATCTACTCCATTTTAATTGATTCTGATTGGTCATTTTGATGTTAATGAATGCTTATGTACCAGATTTTGTCAATTCTTGTAATGCTTGGAATGAAAGTTGTAATTATGATGAACTGTGCACTCTTGATTCTTGATTTTCCTATACAGCCATATGCTGATAATCCTGAGAGTTCAGGCTTTCAAGTGATGGACCTTGACAATCTGCTCGACATGACTGCACTTTCTGACAAATCTGGGCTGCAGGTGGTCCCTTGACACTGCATTTATTTTACTCAATAGATGCTCTCAAGGCTCAAGCTGTCAGGATAGGATAAAAATTCTATAAGCGCTTTTCATTACTATACCAGGTCTCCATTCATGCTATTGACGATAAGGCGAATGACTTAATCTTGGATGTGTATGACTCAGTTGCTTCAGAGAATGGAGAAAGGGACCGAAGATTTAGGGTAAGTAAATTTTCGTTGTGATCTGCTAAGTGGCCTGCAATTATGATGTGACCACCGTACATTGTTGCATGTTTAAATCTTATTTATTACTGTCCCGAGTTCTTGGTCATGTTATTTCAGATTGAACATACTCAGCATTTGGCACCTGGTTCAGCTGCTCGATTTGGTAAACAAGACGTTGTTGCTTCGGTACAGGTTTGATTGGGGACATTGTTCCTTGCATTTTCTCATATAATACTTTTTTTATTGGCTTTACAACATACTTGATCATTCATCTCATCTGATTCCAGTTCAAAAGAAGACAATTTGTTCACCTATGATGTTTCTATTTTGCATCACATCAATATTAAAAGATTGTTCAGAAATTCTGAAATTTCTTGTAAATTTTGGCAGCCGATGCACCTTCTTGATGATGCTATTTCTGTAGAAAGAAAATTGAGGAAGCAACGGGCTGAACATGGATCTTATCTCTTTCATTCACTTCTAACAAGTCACTCACTACTAGCTTTTGGATGTGATTGGCCTGTGCGAACTAAACTTAGCTTCTTGCCATTACTATCTTTTTTTTTTGCACTTTTCCAACTTCTAATATCTGTAGTTTCCTGACAATGTATTAGGTTACACACATTGATCCTTTGAACATGTAGGGAACAATTTTAAGCCTTTAAAAATCCCACTAGCTTGAACCCCACTGTGATCATACATTAAAGTACGGTGGCGTCCAAAAGGGAAGAAAATAGAGCAAAAGAGTCGCCAACAAGTTTTTTAGGAACTTGTAAACCGTTCACGAGGTGAAGGTTACACCTCTTAACGATCCAAGAGATCGTCAACTCCATAAGGTCATGAACCAAATAAGGGTTCGGGGATGAAGGTACAAATCCAACCTAAAAGAGATTGAACCTGCCCTAATAATAGGCCTCTACTTTATTCTACTCGTATTCATGTGCGCTTTCTGATTAACATGCAATCAATAGGATTAACCCTAAACCTGTTTAATCTATGTTGGTTGAATATTAATGCACAAATAAACTATTATTGGCGATCACTTGAATTATAATCATATTAACCCTAACAAGATTATTAATTATCTTATTAAGCGTGATTACAAGTACAAATTCCCTTTAAACATTCATAAAAGGTGATCAAGCAATAAAATAAATATCAAGCAACATAATAAATAATCAATATCATGAATAATAATTATAATATTGATAATATCATCATAAATAAAATAATCATCATCAAAATAATAATAATAATAATAATCATAAATTATAACAATTATAATCATAATCATGCTCATAATCATGTTCAAGTTAATATTAAAACATAATAGAAATAGCAAGATTCTAGGCATGATACTAACAAGATTAATAACAAATCCTAGCATGTCACTGAGCAATAAAAATCAAATCTTTAACCCTAACATGAATTAATATTAGGAAGAACATAAGAAGCATCGCACTTTTAATCATACTTGATATTAAATTTACCCTAAACATGATACTAGGAATATCATAATAACAATATAAGCATGATTTCTACATCATAATATCAATTAAACCATTAAAGTACTTACTTGGATGCCTCGTACCTCTTTCTAATAACAAAATACACACGTTATTAACTTCAAGGAAAACAATAAACAAACAATTAAATTAAATAATTGAAATAGAGATTTGGGACCAAACCCTCAGAAATTAAACCTTTCACGTCTAGGGCGAAGGCAACTTCGAATATGGCTAGATGTTTCTAGATCTCTTGAATGCGGAATTTTGTATTTGAGAAAAGGCTAGTTTAGAAAAAGAGAGAGAGAGAATAATCAAGAAAATCTTGATGAGAGTTGGTGATTGATTAAGAGAGAGTTAGAGAATTAATGATTGCGAAAGAAAACTGATTGTTGATGAATAAAAACGGAGTTTTTAATACGATATTTATAGAGAAAATCAGCCAAAAAGATAAAATTAACAAAACAGAGACTGACGCACGCAAAACGAGGTTGGCGCCAGGCATTGGCTATTGGCGCCAGGCGCCAGGTCTGATTCCAGGCGCCAAGCCTGTTTTTAACGCGTTTTTGTTTTTATCATATCTTTTGATCCGAAAGTCTAAATAAGGCATATAATATGTCGTTGGAAAGATATTAAAGTCTACTTTACAACCCAATTAGAATCAGATATAAATATTTTGTAGATAAAAAGATATGACCAAAATAGTGAAAGGGTGTCAGTTTTGGATAAAGTTTCATGTCTCATTCATATCTTTTTCGTTATAATTCGGATTTAATATTATAATATATCATTGGAAAGATAATTTAAAGATCTATCCAACCATTTAAAATTTGGATAAATATTATGAGGCACGAAAATAAAATCTGAATATATTCCACTTCGTACAAAACAAGGATTCTTAAAAGGAGTAGTTTTATTCAATTTCAAACTCTTTAAAACATAATTATCAATCCTAACCCCATTAGGATTTAAAAGAACCTTCTAGAATATTCTAGAAGACTATAATCAATCCTAATAGCTTTAGGAATGATAATTAATAATAGGCTCTCCTCTAGATCATTGGGCCGCATATAAAGCTCAAACCGGGCCCATTTTAGTATTTTGGCCATAACTTCCTCAATATTCATCGGAATTGGGCTTATAATATATCGTTGGAAAGGTCTTTGCAAGCCCCATCCAAATACACCACTATTAGACCCATATCACGGACCAACCAAACTGGATTGGCTGTTTTTTTAAAATAAAGTTTTCAAAAACAGGGAGAAGAGAAAAGAAATAAAAACTTTCCGCAACACTAGACTTTCCACACTTTCGTTTCATTCAATTATGATTTGACGTGAAAGGTACTCATCACCGGGTTTGGTTTTGGGGAGACACAAATGGGTGTCTACAGAAGCCCCCACTTTGACTGAGTTTGGAGAAACGCAAGTTTCGAAAACGAAAGTCAAAGTAGCGATAGGGACGGAGAATGATTCAGAACGTTCTGCGATCCTAAATCAATCTTGTAACGCCGATACCTGCAAAACTAGCATTAGTTAAACAGATAGAAGAGTTAAGAAACGCGTATCTTGCACCGTCGAGCACACGTCTCTGAAAGTAACCGATTTGCTTTGATGACCTCCTGCAAGCTAGAGAATGCCATCCCGCTTGAAAACTGCTACGCTTGTAACTGCTTCCAAATTAGAAGATTTCTTCGCCTGAAACTATCCTCTCCGCTTTGATAATATTCCACACCCAAGGGAATACTATCGAAGATTGCTTCTCTTGAAACAATCCTCAGTTGTTTGTGACAACTCTCCACAATCTAGGGAACGCCACCTTGTTGTTTTGATGTTCACTCGTCTCTGAACAAAGAGCTTCTTTTTGATATGTTCACGCGTCTCTGAACAAAGAGCTTCTTTTTTATATGTTCAATTTCCGCTGTGATAGTCTTCGAAAAGATCACTGCTTTGTAATCCTTAATACTGCCATGCCAGTACGTCGGCGCTTTGCTGCTTGTGAACCAGTATGTCGGTGCTTTTGCTGTGATGACAATCCTCTTTTCTTTGGGAATAGTTGCCAACACAACTCTTGTATGATGTATGACAATCCGATTTAGGGAAAGTTGTCAATGCTTCGTAACAATCTTTCATAAGAACATTGCTATGATCGACAATCCACATATTGGAATATAACTCTTGAAAGCAATCCACCTTGGAAATTTGCCAACGGTATGCGACAATCCTTTTGGGAAAATATTGCCACTATTGACAATCCGCGTCTTGGAACATTTGCAAAAAAGAGTCGACCGACAATCCACTTCGGGAAAATTTGCCACTTACTTAAATGAATGACAATCCACGTTGAGGAACTTTTGCCGATATTTATGATGAATAGAAACCTACAACAATCCTTTGGGAAATTTTGCTATAGGGAACTGGGTGTATGACAATCCAATCTCGGAAAAACTTGCCAGCGATGACAATTCGAACTTGGAAAAAATTGCCAAACAAAGAAGGAGCACGACAATCCACGCTTGGAAACTTTGCCAGAGATGACAATCCAATCTTGGAAAAATTGTCGTAGAAGAAGATGCACGACAATCCATTTTTGGAAATATTGTCAGTTGGGGATGACAATCCAATTTTTGGAAAACTTTGTCGTTTAATAAGAATGCGCGACAATCCATATTTGGAAATATTGTCGTTTAAGTGCTTGCTTTTGAACCGATTGTAATGAGCCAGTGTTTTAGGCGCTTAAGCTAAGTGAGACAATTTTTCGTCAAATCGATCACTTATTGCAATTGTAATCAAACCGACTACTTAATCATGTCAAATTGCTTATAGGGGCTAACTGGCGTACCAAGGAACCCGAAATTGCTGCATGAGGTCGAAATCACCTTTCTGGGAGGCTTCGAGCTCTGTCGTTGCTGAGATATCTCTGGCGCCAAGAATTGGAGTAGGGTCTCCCCTGTTCTGCTGCACCTGTATTTATTTTTTACTATAGAACTTTGCCAATATTTTTAATTATCTTAGGGTTGACCTAAGGATTAATGTTGCTTGACTCATCGACTTGACACGACTGAAGGTATAAACTTGACTCGATATGACTGACTCGAGGTTGACTCGACTCAAAGTGTAATGACACATGTGTTAGACTCAAATCAAAATGATATGACACGACATGACTCAATGTGTACATGACTCGTGTGTGCATTGTAATGTGATCGTACGACTCGAAAAAAGCAAAAAAGCAAAAATTTTCCGTCAATTGTGGAGGGTACCGACTTTCTCCCGAAAAAGAAAGACGTGAAAAAGAAAATCAAAAGTTTGAAGATGCATGTTGAATGAGCTTAGTCAAATGTTGTTTGATACTATCTCTCAAGGTTCAAGGATTAATTCAGCCTAGGCTATCTCAACTGTTGACTCCATGATGAAAGTATTTGGGTAACTTAGGCACGGAGACTAAGCACTTCATACTTCTATGTAATGACAATTATGATTGATTTTGACGAAGCATGCTTCAGCGTTAAGATTTCATGACAAAGGATTCCTAAGGGAAGTATATTTGGTCATGTATCTGTGATGTGTGTGAAAGTGACTCTAAAGCTAGGCCGCAAGGGTTAAGTGTGTGGAAAAATATGTTATTGAAAAGAGTCAAATGGTGGTGACTCTTAGGCTAGGTAAGCTAATAATATAGGGATTAAGCCCCCAAATCTAGCTCTAAATGAATAGGGATGAGCATTGGAGATCCCTTGATATGATCATGGTGTAAGTGTGTGAATGTGAATATGAATGCATGTTTATTACGGCCGCATCTCGATGTGAGGTTGCCTACGTATCCGTTAGGAATCAGGCCGAACGTAGCTCTAGCCGAACCTCGCACAAGTGTGTGTATACCTCAAAAAGGTCTTTTTAAGGGTTGTAACGTGGTTAGGCTAAAGGTTTGAAGAAGAAGGGGATAAAGGCTCAAGACCCTAGATAAGCCCCCAAGGTGTGCAACCTTGCTTTTGAATATTTGTATTTTCATGCTTGAGGTTTTCTACTCTTTTTTTAGCTCTTTCTTTTGCTTTAGCATTTATTTTATTTTAATAAGTGTGGGTAATCCTGATCATGCGGTCCATCACTTACTTGGCATTCATGTTTCTCAGGCACGGTACCGAGCACTCGATAAGAGACGCACTCTGAGACGTGTTCTTATCAAAGATATTTTCATATCAAAGACATTGGAACACTTACCCTTTTGTACACTTTTATTTATTTTTTTGCTTTTTCTATTATTGTTTATTTTTTGCTATTGCTTTCTTTTGAATTTGCTCAAGCTTTCTTAAAATTGCATAAGTTACACACCATCCCATCCCAAGGTTAGGTAGATGTAGGTTGAAAAAAGAAAGGTCTATCGTTAGACGAAGCTCAAAGTGGTTTATGAAGAAAGGATTTGTAAATTAGAAAGGCGAAAGGAGATATGATGTGGCTACAAGGGGTGACTCAAATCATTGGTATACCTTGTGCTTAATTCGACATTGTTTTTTTTTTTTTAATGCAATGCAATGAAATGATCATATATAAGGAAATAAATGCTCATTTTATTAAAAGAAAAAAGGAAAACAATAAAAATCCTACAAAATAAATCTAAGGAAAGGAAAAGGTGCCTATGCTAGACTTATTGGGGAAAGGAAAAAAAATGAAAAAGAAACAGAAAAAGAGGTCATGAAATCTTTTCGTTGAAGCTCGTCTCTTGTCTTGTGTTGTTTCATCATTACCCTCATTTTTTGTTTGTCAATCATATGACTCAAACTCGATTCAACACACATGGATGGAAGGAGTGAAGAAAGATGGAATAGAAAGTGAAAAAAAAAAAGAAAAAAATGATGGAGGTGGAGGGATATGAAGAATTAGGGATAGAATGTACCCCCAACTCAAATGACAGAAAAGACCGACTCATGCATGAACCTAAGACATGGCCATGGTGACATGTGCTCAAAGTGTGTGCTAAGACTAGTGAGTTTAGATGGTACTTTAAGACTCGTGTCATGACCATGTGGCTAGACTATGTGACTAGACTCAAGCAAAGACTAAGTTAAGACTTCACGTATATGCATTAAACTGGATAGACTGTGGTATTTTAGTCATAACTTTTTATCTGCGACTCTGATTGGGATGAAACCAACGCCAAATTAAAGATAAAACTCGGGGCTACAGATTCATAGGCTGTAAGACTCGTAGTTCTTTCTAGAACTCCAGATATGACCAAAACAAGTTGACATTTGTGCAGTATACGGGAATAAAAATCTGGGTTGACTTAAAGGAGCTATGACTCGATTTTATGTTTATTTATTAGCTCAAATTAATTAATTAATTAATTAAACAAAGTCCTTTAGTCATTAATCAGTTTATTTAGTCTTAACACAAGTCAAACAAACGGTTAAGAAAAAACCACATAGAGTATGCACAACAAATAATGCACAATTAGTCAAGTAGGCACAATATGATGCAATGAGTTCGCAACCTAACCATGGCTCTAGTTCTCTAAAGTTCGGGATATGGTTTAGTCAAATAGGGTCCATGGTTAATTTTCCAGATGCATCGCGTAGAAGCCTAATCGTGAAGGGTTAACGCGTGTGGATAGGACACCGCGAGTTTTTAGAAAAAACTCAGTTCCATGGTTTGGTGAATTCAACCTCTCAGATGTACCCTTTGTTGCCAGGAGCGTTCAATCGGGTAGATAGAGCATGAATTCCCAGGGGGTTATGTCCATATGTAGAACACATATGGGTTTCAGAAAAGTGAGAAAAAATTCAATCAGGAAGCAGGATCGAGCAAACAATACGAAAAACCGGTCGAAATTAGAACGCATATTTCTGGCTCGGTATTGGGGGAAATTGGCGCCAGCAAACAGAGACTGGCGCCAACTTTTAACTGTAGCGCCTGGCGCCAATACTGGCGTCTAACGCTACAGCTAAATGTTTGGCGCCAAGCTCTGGCCCCTGACGCTACTTCCCACATGCCTCAGCAGCTTTCTGTGCTCAATAAAATCATCCAGTTTCGCGCGGTGTTATTTCAGTCCTAGTTGTGAAAGACATTTCTCAAATTTCCTACGTGTAAAATCCTATGTTTTTGACTCATTACGGATGGTCTTTCCATTGAGAACCTTTTTATGCATATGACAATAATGTTAATCAAAATTACGCACATGAAATACTTAGAACTTTTTGAGTCTCATCCACTCATTCTAAATCATTGCCGAAACAAATTCAGGAATTAAAATAGAAATCCTCCCCAGTGAAGTCGCCAAAAACTGTAGGGAATAATTTCAAGCCTTTAAAAATCCCACTAGCTTGAACCCCACTGTGATCATACACTAAAGTACGGTGGCGTCCAAAAGGGAAGAAGATAGAGCAAAAGAGTCGCCAACAAGTTTTTTAGGAACTTGTAAACCGTTCACGAGGTGAAGGTTACACCCCTTAACGATCCAAGAGATCGTCAACTCCATAAGGTCATGAACCAAATAAGGGTTCGGGGATGAAGGTACAAATCCAACCTAAAAGAGATTGAACCTGCCCTAATAATAGGCCTCTACTTTATTCTACTCGTATTCATGTGCGCTTTCTGATTAACATGCAATCAATAGGATTAACCCTAAACCTGTTTAATCTATGTTGGTTGAATATTAATGCACAAATAAACTATTATTGGCGATCACTTGAATTATAATCATATTAACCCTAACAAGATTATTAATTATCTTATTAAGCGTGATTACAAGTACAAATTCCCTTTAAACATGCATAATAGGTGATCAAGCAATAAAATAAATATCAAGCAACATAATAAATAATCAATATCATGAATAATAATTATAATAATGATAATATCATCATAAATAAAATAATCATCATCAAAATAATAATAATAATAATAATCATAAATTATAACAATTATAATCATAATCATGTTCACGTTAATATTAAAGCATAATAGAAATAGCAAGATCCTAGGCATGATACTAACAAGATTAATAACAAATCCTAGCATGTCACTGAGCAATAAAAATCAAATCTTTAACCCTAACATGATACTAACATGAATTAATATTAGGAAGAACATAGGAAGCATCACACTTTTAATCATACTTGATATTAAATTTACCCTAAACATGATACTAGGAATATCATAATAACAATATAAGCATGATTTCTACATCATAATATCAATTAAACCATTAAAGTACTTACTTGGATGCCTCGTACCTCTTTCTAATAACAAAATACACACGTTATTAACTTCAAGGAAAACAATAAACAAACAATTAAATTAAATAATTGAAATAGAGATTTGGGACCAAACCCTCAGAAATTAAACCTTTCACGTCTAGGGCGAAGGCAACTTCGAATATGGCTAGGTGTTTCTAGATCTTGTGAATGCGGAATTTTGTATTTGAGAAAAGGCTAGTTTAGAAAAAGAGAGAGAGAGAATAATCAAGAAAATAGTGGCTAGGTGTTTCTAGATCTTGCCAATGCCTGGAGTCAGGCGCCAAGCCTGTTTTTAACGCATTTTTGTTTTTATCATATCTTTTGATCCAGAAGTCCAAATAAGGAATATAATATGTCGTTGGAAAGATATTAAAGTCTACTTTACAACCCAATTAAAATCAGATTAAAATATTTTGTAGATAAAAAGATATGTCCAAAATAGTGAAAGGGTGTCAGTTTTGGATAAAGTTTCATGTCTCATTCATATCTTTTTCGTTATAATTCGGATTTAATATTATAATATATCATTGGAAAGATAATTTAAAGATCTATCCAACCATTTAAAATTTGGATAAATATTATGAGGCACGAAAATAAAATCTGAATATATTCCACTTCGTACAAAACAAGGATTCTTAAAAGGAGTAGTTTTATTCAATTTCAAACTCTTTAAAACATAATTATCAATCCTAACCCCAGTAGGATTTAAAAGAACCTTCTAGAATATTCTAGAAGACTATAATCAATCCTAATAGTTTTAGGAATGATAATTAATAATAGGCTGTCCTTTAGATTATTGGGCCGCATATAAAGCTCAAACCGGACCCAGTTTAGTATTTTGGCCATAACTTCCTCAATATTCATCGGAATTGGGCTTATAATATATCGTTGGAAAGGTCTTTGCAAGCCCCATCCAACTACACCAGTATTAGACCCATATCACGGACCAACCAAACTGGATTGACTATTTTCTTAAAATAAAGTTTTCAAAAACAGGGAGAAGAGAAAATAAATAAAAACTTTCCGCAACACTAGACTTTCCACACTTTCGTTTCATTCGATTATGATTTGTCGTGAAAGTTACTCATCACTGGGTTTGGTTTTGGGGAGACACAAATGGGTGTCTACAGAACAACATTAGGACAGCAGTAAAAAGGGTTCCACCAATGTGGGAAACATCATGGATTCCATCTGAATCCCTCTCACTCAATGATGCACTTGATGCGTAAGGCTCATCTTTTGTCTTCTGTAGACCCCCTATGATTGATGTTTCCAGTGAGAGCTTTTTTTAGTTTGTCATATCTGAATACTAAAATCATTCAAGAGCCATTCTGTAGACCTGCTTACGGAAAACCTCATAGAGTTTCTTCTGTTAGTGACTCTAGAAACACTATCAAAGTATTAGGGTTATAGTATGTCAGCTTTGCTTGGCTTGTCACTCTCTTACCTTGAAGTCCTAGTGTCCCACATTCAATATCCCGGCAAGGTTATATAATGAGGCTTTCTCTTGCCTTATTCCTCTCACGATCATATTGCAGGGGCGTAGTTAACATACTAGAGTACTAGATTAGATAACCTGATATAGGCTTAGCTCAGGAGGAATGAATGTCTTTCGGTGTGAATGGTCACTCCACACACACACGGAACACACACAAAACTTATGGTGTGTTCTCATTATTATTAAGTTTGTCATCTACACGTGTAAAATTAAACGGGGATAGAGGAAGTGTATATTCTAGATGTAGTTCATGTAATGTTATGCAGTTACGAGTATAATCATTAGTAATGTGTATTAGAAAGGAACTTACTGAAATTGAAACTTGCCTGTTAATTATAGTAACAATAAGTAAATAAAACATTATCTTTCCTACAATTAGCTAGCTAATCGCATATAATTCTATTATGTCATTATAGAAAGTTGTTAGCTTCTACCAAAGGAAATTTTGGCTTAAGAAAAGAAGGGAGTCTATACTACATGTACAAGCCTCTATGAGATTTTAGTCTTAATCCTTCACTCCAGCTTGTGCTTGTGCATTTTATTTTCATAAACCAATAAAAACAACTCTTAAACATAACAAAATTTTCTGCATGCAGGCACACGATTTCAGCAGCTCGTGCGTGTTTTCTTGACAAAGAAATAGGGTCAGTATCTCCAGGAAAATGGGCAGATTTTGTTGTATTGTCCACAAACTCATGGGAGAAATTTATAGCTGAAGCATTTGCTTCTGTAGAGGCTACATATGTTGGTGGAATTCAAGCCTATTCTTCAAAGAATGTTGTGTGATTAAGGCGGGGTCAAACATCAATATCTTTTGTCAATATCATTGTAGGAACACCTTTAAAAGCAGTACGATTATGTATATGATCTCTTCGTCAGGCATAATCATGTATCATTATCATGTAGCAGTACGATTATGGTTATGATTCTACTGAGTATTTCTATTTTAGTGTTTATGATTACTTTTGTTGGGTTGTAGTGCAAGTGGAAGCAAAATGATAGGGAAAAAAAGCAAGTATATGACAACTGACATTTTTTCTATAGCTCGCTCCTACCTGCCTTCAATCGATGGTGAGCTATGGCTCGCTGCTATTGCGATGCTTATTGAAGCCCCATGACCTAACACTTATATATGCATCAATAGCTACTCGTTGAGGGTTGGTTCTTGGTCGATTGATTGTCTTTGTCTAGCGGTCTTGCCACATCATTGCTCGTCATCAAGGGGATTGTTAAACGGCGCCCTTATTTTACCAGGTAACGTTCGCCCGCATTTAAATATAAATGGAGAAACATACCTTCACGTGTATTCCATGTTTTTCTTCTTTGGCCTCTAACTCAATCTATCATTCTCTCCTCCCAACAAACCACCACCGACCGAGAGCAAGGTCATCAGACACATCGCCGGAATTAAAATCGTTTTTTTTTGTGGAGGGGGAAAACGCCTAACTTTTTCAAAACTCTAGGGGAGAAACGCCTAGAATTTTCAAAAGTCCCTAGGAGATTCGAAAATTCTAGGCGTTTCCACCAGTAAAATTTTCCAGTTTTTGTGTTTTTTGTTTTTATCATAACTTTTGATCCAGAAATCAGATTAAGACAAATAATATATCTTTGGAAAGCTCTAGAAGTCTAATTTCTAATCCAATTAGAATCAAATCAATATAATTTTTAGATCTTAAGATATGGCTAAAGTACTAAGTTTGGTCCAAAACCAATACCCTTGCACTATTTCGATCATATATTAAGATCTAGAAATGATATTGACTTGATTCCAAATGGGTTGGAAAGGTAGACTTTCAGATCTTACCAACGATATATTATTTGTTTTAATCCAAATTTGGAATCAAAATTTATGATAAAAACAATAAACGCAAAAAAAACTGGAAAATTCTACGGGGTAAAACGCTTAGAATTTTCGAATCTCCTAGGGACTTTTGAAAATTCTAGGCGTTTCTCCCCTAGAGTTTTGAAAAATTAGGCGTTTTCCCCCTTTACAAAAAAAAAAAAAAAGATTTTAATTCTGGCGATGTGTCCGATGACCTTGCTTTCGATCGGTGGTGGTTTGTTGGGAGGAGAGGATGTTAGATTGACTAAGAACATGGAATACACACGAGGGTATGTTTATCTATTCATATTTAAATGTGGGCGTTACCTGGTAAAATAAGGGCGTCGTATAGCATATGTTTGGTTATTTTTATTTTTCTATTATCTTTTGTAATTTCTTTAGCTTAGAATTTAGGGAGCTATTAATACTCAAGGAAATTTATTTTTTCCTTATGCCTTTTATTATTATTTATGTTTGTTTTTGTTTTCCTTTAGCCATACGATTTCCCTAGAAATTGTTTAATTATAAACTAATTTCCTAATTGCGTTGGTTTTAAAACTTATTCCCGCGGTACTGTCAACGTATGATTGGTACCAGTTTCGATAATTTTTTTTTTTATTTTTAATTCAGTAAAGAACTGCTAACGGTGATATCGGTTCTATACATATAAACCGCTAACGATAATAATTAAATAGCTAATACCACTAGCAATTTAAAAAAAAAATAACCTATAAACTGCTAATGCCAGTAGCGGTTTTTATTTGTAAACCGCTTATACCATTAGTGGTTTTAAATATAAAACCGCAAGCAGAATTTGCGGTTTTAACCTGTGAGTCTGCCAAAGTACACAATAGCTATCTCGAAAAAAAAAATATGAACCTGTAAAAATGCACAAGGCACTAATATGAATCTGTGACAAACCAACAGAAAATGCATTCATCCAAGACAAAGATCATAGCAAAGAGTATCCGATTTATTATATATATATATATATATAAAGTCAATATGCATTTCTCCAACACAAACTAAATATAATTTCATCAAAATCTGAACAAAATGTTATTTACATATAATTTAAGACCAAAAAATTGCTTCTAGCTATCTAACACCTATGATCCACGCTGCTTCTTTGAAGTATGTTCCGATGATCCAAATGCAGATTCATTAACCTCTGTAATGGGTGATAGCATTGAAATAGTAGAACTTGAGGTGCGTGATCGTCTCATGTAGGTTACAAGATTGAGGAGGAGAAGACTCATAATTCAAAGAGAATGGAGATGGGGTGAGCATAGTATGTGGTGATATGAGAGAAGTAGGTGAGGTAGGAGGATGAAGAAGAGGAGTGGTAGTAGCAGAAGGAGTGGCAGTAGCAGAAGAAGGAGTGGCAGTAGCAACAGAAGCAGGAGTGACAGTAGCAGTTTGAGTAGGAGTAGAAGTAGGAGTGGCAATGGCATTAACAATAGGAGTGGCAGCAGTAGAAGTAGCAGTAGTAGTAGGAATAAGAGTGGCACCTACATCATGGAGCATGTATGCTTTGCCAATTGTATGCAAGGTCTCGGTGCAGGAACTTGCAAAACTTTGTAAGGTGTGCAATGCCAACTCCAAAGCTTTGTCATCAGGCAAATCGGAAGTAGACTCTTTCACACGAGTGCAATTTCTCACCACTTCAGCAACTGTTTAAGACTAGATAAAAAAAAAATAGTTAGTTCTTTAAATTTTAAATGTCATATGAAAAAAAAAGAAAAAAAAAAAGTTAATCTAATTCACATAAGCAACATTGTGTAAATGTTACAAGCGCAAATTCATTAGAGGCGGGCTGATATTTAGTTGAAGGACGCTCTTGGTCCGGCGGAGTGATAATAAGCTTTGTAATTGTCCGATAACAAGCTAAATAGGCTTCTAGTGTTGATGTTTGACCCTTGGCCAAAGTACCAATAACAACTCTATCGATGAATTTGCTTCTTCGTGAAATCGGGTCGATGATGTTCAACGCAGAGAAGAGAGAATACAATTGGAACTTTTTTTTTAACTAGTTGTGGACCTGCGCGCGTTGCGCACGGTTTCCTAAGTTATCGGTATTATCTTTTGGTCATTGTTTTATCATTGTTTGTATGTCCATTATATTTATGGACATTTTTCCCTCGAGTAACTGGTTTATTTAGTAAAGAAATACAAAGAATTTGAGGATAAAAATATGTACTTCCTCCGTTCTTTTTTACTTGACCCGCTTTGACTTTTACACTATTCACCACCCCTCCTTTGACCATCTTTTGTGAATAATATGTAAGGAAAAACATATTCATATTGGATCTTTTTGAATTCGTCTCAATAAGTACTATCATAATATATAAATTTTATAATTTTTACTTATGGAGAATTAAAGTTATTGATCGTTAAAGTTTTGCATTGGCAAGCGTGATAAAAGAAACATGTCAAGTAAAAAAGAACAGAGGAAGTATGTATTTATTATTCATATAGATGGCCCTAATTTCTCTCCATTTCCCTCCTCTATAGCCTCAAAGTCTCTTCCACAATTAAATATTAAGAATGGTCTCTTGAAATGCTTTTCGTCTTCATTCCTTTGATTTCTTTATTTATTTCCTTTTATCTCCCCCGTAGCCTTGTCTCCATGATCCCTCTTTTTTTCATGACTTTGAAAATTATAGGTTGCACTTGCTCCCACTCACATATTCTTTCCTTTATTGTCCCAAACTCTGTCTTCATTCTGGTGTGAGGAATGGATCTCTGGAAAGGTGCTTATGCTGCTCGTTCAACGGCAGGCTGTGCAAGTGCCATTGCTTGTGGCTCAGGGATTCAACTTTGGGGAAGCTATGTTTAGCAATGGCAGCTTCAGGGACTGCCTCTACCAATGCTGGAAGAGACTTGTTATTCACTTTATTGGTAGAAGGGTGGTTCCTATTCGCTGCAATCAGTATTGAAAAATGAAACATTAACATCAGAGTCCTTGAAGTTTCAAATTAAATGCTTAAATCTGCCAAAAATCCCATTCATTTTGAAAACATAACAACAATAGAAGATACCCAGTTTTAGCATCAATAAGACAATAACAAACATTGAAAACAAATTACTAATTGCACTAATCAATTTTACACTAATTTCCGTAACCCACTAAAGGATGATTTTGATTGATGAAGTTTTGTGATTCTTTGAAATTTTGATGCAAAGAATTGGGAAGTAAGGAAGCTCTTCCACAATTGACTTTGCAAAGCATTTAAGAATTCAATACAGTAATTACAATCTACTAAGGAGTAAGGAAGCTCACATAATTTCATTCATTCCCTGTCAATCTGTCAAAAATATATGACATTCATTTCTCTTCTACACACCTCAACCAAAATAACAGCTTCACCTCACCACCAGTCCACCATTTAAAATTATTCCAAAGGAAAAAATAGCAATCCTCCAGAATGAGATTTAAAAAATAGCGATCATGGCTTTCAGCACTCAAACTCACTATAAGTTAGTCACAAAAATCAAACTCTAGTGAGTCCTACAAACCACAATCGACTATTCTTAGTTTCCTAGGCAAATCACTCATAAACTACTATAAATTCACCTTTCTTGGCTAGGAAATAGAGTAACTCAAAATAACAATGGCCTATTTAACTAACTGCTGATAATAATTGCTGTTTGTGGCACACATTAGTTAAAAGTTTTTGACATTCAAGTGGCCTAATCACAAATGAAAATAGGCTCTCTGTTATCGCAAGAGATGTTTTCCATAAAACAGTTCCCCCAAAAACAAGATCCTTCCTTGGATAGTGCCCATTCTTAGTATTGATGGAAGACATAAATCCTTTAATTCAAGATAATGTTTCATATCGATACAGTTAATCACTACCTCAACAAATAGTTTTATTTAACACCACTAAGTCAATCTAATTAAAGGATAACTTACATCTAGCTGCTGATAAATAACAACCAGCAGTTGGCAGGGAATAGTATGGCTAATACTCATGTGACTAACTAAGTATGACTTCTGCTGAGGAGATGGAAGTAATATTGACAGATATGACTTCCTTTCTCAGAAAGGTACACTCCACATAGTCTTTATCTGTTTTAATTAACTCCAATTAGCCCTCCCATAATCATCGAACAGCCCAGACCAATTTGATGATTTCGACCCCTTCCCTCGAGCACCATATGGCTCCGATTTTCCTCGAGCATACGTCCCATTATCCTTATATTCATACCCACCTCCCAAATTAGACCTACTACCCTCAAAACTCAGAATATTGATGATCTAAAACCCTAAGGAGGAGCAAAGGGAAAATGCAACCCATTTTCTAGATCAAAAACCCTAAAACTGACGATTTTACTACCAAACTTTCTAGAAAAAATTGGAATTTTCAACCTTGGAAATTACTACAGTATAAAATTTAGATTGCAAAAAAAATCACAAAAATCACAATTTTATCAACAAAACCCATCACAATCCTTGATTATAAATAAAACCCATCACAATCCTTGATTATAAATAAAACCCATCACAATAAACAAAACTTTAAATCCAAAAAGAATCTGGAATTACCTCAGTAATCAAACCTGAAATTACCTCAGTAATTGAATTTGAGAAAACACACATATTGTCGTGGAATATTCATACCACGTCATTAGCAGTGTACCTCAGTAAATAAACCCGAAACCAATTCATAGAACCCACTATTCATTCAGCATCATTATTATAGAATTAGGAAAGAAAAGGGGATGAGAATGAACCAAATTACCTCAGCAAGCCGTTAGGGGAAAATGAAACTTGAGAGGTTGTGGCAGTAGACGATAGAGGTGTCGGCAACAATGGGAGCAGTTCTGCCATCAGATCAAAGAAAATGGAAGCCAAAGTGAGAAGAAAAAAAAGGGGGAAACAAACAAGGGTCCGTGGGTCTTCAATCACAGTAAAAGAACCCCCTAAATTGACTCAATAATCAAATTAGGTTCCAAAATTCATATCTCTTCACTTTACAAAATAAAAAAGATTACTTGTATAACCTTTCATACTTTCACCAATTATATAACTGCTTGTTCAATATTCCATCTTTACAGAACCGAAAATTGTCTACACTGACAAATATATGAACGATAAACAGTGTTTTGGCAGATGACATCCATACCCATAATAGTTCGTTGAATACATTCGTGTTGCACTGAGGAGATACCAAAATATTGGTACGAGGGGACTCGTAGTGAGTAAAATATGACCTACTGGTCCTTGTAATTGAAATGATTACCAGCCCATTATTCATCTCCAAACTGAGTAAAATAAGATCTGCTGGTCCTTGTAATTTAAATAAGTTAACAACCTGGAAAAGCATAACATAAATTTTAGTATCATCCTCAAATGAGCTAAATATAATTTAAATTATTATTCTCACTAACAATAAGGAGTTTAACAATATGCAGTAAGGTGTCAAAGTCAAAAATTCAAAGTGAAGCTTGACAAAATATGTGAATATCCTTCATGCCTTTGATAGAAAGAGGAAAGGAAAACAAAGAATCTATCGTAACGAGAAAAAAAAAACCTTTGCTTTGTAAGCAAATCAATAAGTTGAATGGAACGGTTTAGGTGCTAATTCAGAAACAAGACGCGCAACATCTAAGAGCACCTAAAATCTCAACTCCAAATTTCAACCATGAGTGTAAAACCAAATAAACATCAGGTCAAGGCTTATTATCCAGCCACAAAACCCCTAATCAGTGAGCATATAGTCTAATAGCATCTACAATTAGATCAAACAATTAGCAGAAGTTGACAAGGTTCACCCATCAGACAACTCCCCAAAGCATTCATCAAAACTAAGCTCACCAACTCAGATCAACTATAAAATTGAGATTGCAGATTAAAACTTACAGCCTCGGTAACACATAGCTACCATGTTGAACAAGTTTGTAAAGATCAATAACTGAAAGACCATGCCTGCTCTCATCCTTAAAGAACAATTCTAGCTTCCTCAATTCGTTCAAAGCTCCCATAGCTTCCAAAACACAGATAAAAAAATCAGGGGAAAATAAATTATTATAAACATCTGCAAAAATTCATACAAGCAAGAAATCACTCACATAATTGAAATGCTACGAATCTGATCCAGTAGAAAAGCGATTAATTTTTTTTTTTAAAAAAAAAACAATCTCCATATACAATTCTCAGAACGAAGGGAAAAAATCAACACACAAATTATGTAAAGAAGTATTAGCAGCCCACAAAAAAAAAAAAAAAAAAAAAAAAAAAAAAAAAAAAAAAAAAAATCCCTATTTCAAACATGCAATAGTAGAGATTTAGAGAAAATTACCTTGATAATTCGACACATTTAATCCCGAATCAAACCAAACAAATGCTAATATAAGATCAAAGACGAATTCAATCACAGCAAGAAAGCAATAAAACCATAGAGAGTTAGGATTAGAGTTTGCGAACCTTGAGAACAAGGTCAGGAGATTTTTTACGATGAAGGATGTTCATTCTGTTCAAGTTCCTCAATCCGTTTGAGATAAGCTACTAAGCTAGCCGTAATCCTCCAAATTTCTGAAAAAAAAAATTGGAATTTCCAACCTTGGAATTTACTACGGTAACAAGATTTTAGCCGCAAAAAAATTCACAAAAATCACATTTTCATCAACAAAACCCTGATTATGAATAAAACCCATCAAAACAAACATGACTTAAAATCCAAAAAGGATCTAAAATTACCTCAGTAATTGAATTTGAGAAAATTACTCCATAAGATAAGATCAACCAAAACAAATTAAAGATATACCCTAGATTTTCGAATTGATATTAGATGATTATTAAAAATGATAAAAAATCTTACCTCAAGGAGTTACTTTAATGGAGGAGAGATAAAACGCAGAGTACCCTTCAAGCCTTCATTGGAGAGCTCGGAGAAAGATCAAAATCTGGAGGTGGTATTGAGATATTCGTGGGTGTCGAATCTGTTTTAGGAATTAGGGTTTAAATTGATGTTGATCGGAGAAGGAAAAATTGGGGAAAATGCTAGGATATTCTTGGGTGGGAGGCCGGCGGTAGCAGCCAATTTAAACTTCAACCAATGGTGTAGCGTGAGCTGTTGGAGATGTGAGGATGAGAAAATCAGCTCACGCTTCAATGGAATAGAGAGATGGAGTGTGATTAGTTGATTACAGAGAGAAAGAGTACTGAAAAAGCTACAGTAGGAAGTGTAGTCCAGAAGACAATATACTCCGTAAAGCTAATGGCAAAATACTGTTTATAAGCTACAGTAAGAATGTTCTCAATTTTTAAGAAACTAGTTGAGCAATCGCGCGATAGCGCAAAATGATTTTATCGGTTGTGAATATGGTGGAGCGTAAGTGTTTGTTATTTATCGATGTATATATTTTTAGCTTTATATATTTTTTTTACAAAAATAAGGTTTTGATGGTTCTTGTAACTTTTGTAATGAAGTTATTTGAAATCTATATGTGAAGTTTTAATCTTACTTATGTGAAACAGAATACGAAATGCGTGTTTGTGTATGTGTTTTTTTTGTATGAAAAGCTGGATTGCTTTATGAAACTGTTGAATATCTATCTCCATTCTAATATGGGCAATTTTTTTTGAGTTATAAAATAAGAAAGATTGTATCATATTTTAAATTTTTTAATTTGGAAAAGATGTATACTTCCTCCATTCTATTAATAATGCAACAAGGATGAGATTACGTATTCCAAAAAATCGGGTGTGACTATTATGTAGCATAAGTGTATGTATGCTATTATTCAGTGTAGTTATTGTTATTATTTTTTTCTTATTGCTATATTTTACTTTAAAAAATATACAACTTTTAAAAAATATAATCGGAAAATAGTAATATGTCTTGGGAAATATATTACTTTTAAAATATTAGTATTAATAAAAGTATATATTTTTTTTTGGTGGTTTTGCTGATGCTAAAAGTATTACTTAAATTTATATCCAAATTGTTTTTATTGTTTTGTTGATATTATAAAGTCAATTCATGTTAGCTTCCCCCTATCCTTTTACACACGTCGTAAAGTTTGTCCTATCTCTCTCTCTCTCTCTCACACACACACACACATACACACATACACATTAACTAATTGACTTGATCAGTTTCTTATCTTAAGTGGTCTCTCTCTTTCCTAAGCTTTTCCACGATTTTCTAGTGATTTTTTAAGTGGTCTCTCTCTCCCTCTCTCTCTCTCTCTCTCTTCTTCCTCCTCCTCCTCCTCCTCCTCTTCTCTCTCTCTCTTTCTCTCGCACACACATTTTAGTAAGCCTTTTTCCTTAGCTAATTGCCCTAACTTTCTTTAATGATCTTTCATAAGTGGTCTCTCTATCTCTCTCCTAAGCTAATTTCCTTGATTTTTTAAGTGAGCCTTGTTAAGTGATCTTTCTCACTCTCCTAATTTGATTGCTCTGATTTTTCTTAAGTGATAATTGGTAAGTGGTTTCTCCCTCTCTCTTCTTCCTAAGATAATTTCCCCGATTTTCTTAAATGATCTTTTTTCTTAAGTGATCTTTCTTAAGTGGTCATCTCACTCTCTCCCTATCTCACTCTCTCCCTATTCTAAGCTAATTGTCTGACCTTAGGGGATCTTTCTTTTCTTAAGTTACCTTTCTTCTTAATTGATCTTTCTTCTTAATTATTCTTCCTTCTTAATTGATCTTTCTTAGGTGAACTTTCTTCTTGAGTGGTATTTTCTTCTTAAGTGATCTTTATTAAGTGATTTTCTTATCTCTCTCTCACTATCTCTCTAGGATTTAGTAACTCTTTTTTCGTAAGTTAATTTCTCTTTTTTTTTAAGTGATCTTTCTTAAGTGATATCTCTATTATTGTTAAATGATCTTTTCTTAATTGATTTCTCTCAAATGATCTTTCTTAAGTGGTCTCTCTCTCTCCCTATCTCTCTAATTGTGTTTTTCTAAGCTAATTGACCTGATTTTCTTAAGTTATCTATCTTTAGTGGTCTCTCTCTTTCTTTTCCTCTTTTCTCGCATTTTAGCGTAGGCCTTTTCCTAAGCTAATTGTATTTTCCTAAGCTAATTGCTCTGATTTTCTTCAGTGATATTTCTCTCTCTATTTTAAGCTAATGCCTTTTTTTTATGTGGTCTTTCTTAATTTGTCTTTCATCTCTCCAAAGCCAATTGATCCTATTTTCATAAGAGATTTTTCTTATGTGACCTCTTACTCTTTTTCTTTCTTAAGACAATTCCCATGATTTTCTAAAGTGATCTTTATTGTGTTGTCTCTCTTTCTCTCTCGCATTTTAGTAAGCCTTTTTCCTAAGCTATTGCCCTAATTTTCTGAGGTGATATTTCTTAAGTGTTCTCTCTTATCACTCTTTCTTTCTCTCCCTTTATTAATCTAATTTCCTTAATTTATCTCCTAAGCTAATTGCCCTGATTTTCTTAAGTGATCTCTTGTTTTCTTAGGTGATTTTTCAGAAGTGATCTTTCTTCTTGAGAAATTTTCTTTTTCTTGAGTGATTTTTATTCTTAAGTGATATTTTTAAAGTGGTCTTTCTCTCCCTTTCTAACATTTCAGTAACTCTTTTTCCAAAGCTAATTTCTCTTATTTTCGAAATTGATTTTTTTAAGTGGTCTCCCAATTTTTGTAAAAGATCTTTTTAAAGTAGTCTATCTAAAATGATTTATCTTTAGTGGTCTCTCTCTCTTGTGATCTTTTGTATGTGCGCTCTCTCTCTCTCTCTCTCTCTCTCTCTCTCTCTCTCTCTTGTGATCATTTGTATGTGATCTCTCTCTCTCTCTCTCTCTCTCTCTCTCTCTCTCTCGTGATCTTTCTTCAGAAATTAGCTTAAGAAAACGTAATTAGCTTAAGTGGTACAACATTTTATTAGTAAGCCTTTTCCTAAGCTAATTGCTCGATTTTCAATCTTAAGTGATATTTTTCTCTCCCTCTCTCCCCCCACCCCTCCTCCATCTATCTCACTATCTCTATAGCATTTTAGCAAGTCTCTTCTTAAGCTAATTGTGTTTTCCTAATTGATTGCCCTGATTTTCTTAAGTGGTCTCTCTCTCTCTCTCTCTCCTCCCCCCCCCCCATAGTAAGTTTCTTCTTAACCTAATTGTGTTTTCCTAAGATTGCCCTAATTTTCTTAAGTTGCCCCTCTCTCTCTCTTTCTCTAGCATTTTAGTAAGACTTTTTCTAAGCTAATTGTATTTTCTTAAGCTGATTGCCCTCATTATCTCAACTAATATTTCTTAAGTGGTCTCTTTTACTTTCTTCAAAGCTAATTGACGTGATTTTTTTTATGTGATCTTTTTTAATTGGTCTCTTTCTCTAAAGCCAATTGACCCGATTTTCGTAAGTGATCTTTCTTAAGTTGTTTATCCTTGTCTCTCTTAAGCTAATTGTCATGATCTTCTTAAGTGATCTTTCTTATGTGGTCTCTCTTTTTTTCTTAAGCTAATTGTCATAATGTTCTTAAGTGATCTTTCTTTTCTTAAGTGACCTTTCTTCTTGAGTGATCTTTCTTAAGTGGTTCCCCAGCCCCCCCCCCCTCTCTCTCTCTCTCTCTCTCTCTCTCTAGCATTTGGTAAGTCTTTTTCCTACGCTAATTTCTTTTATTTTATTAAGTGATCTTTCTTAAGTGATCTCTTTCTCTTAAAAAGACTCAACATTTCCTTCTCTATTTTACTTTTAAAAAAATATTAGTATTAAATTGTTATTTTTGGTTTTGCTGATATTATAATTATATCCAAATCGTTTTATGGTTTTATTGATATTAAAAAGTTAATTCATGTCAGCTTGCCGCTTATCTAAGCTAATTGTATTTTCCTAAGTTAATCGTATTTTCTTTAGCATTTTAGTAAACCTTTTCCTAAGCTAATTGTGTTTTTCTAAGCTGATTGCCTTTTTTTTCCCTTAAGTGGTCTTTATATCTCCATAGCTAATTGTCCTAATTTTCTTAAGTGGTGTCTCTCTCTTATACTAATTGATCTGATTTTATTAAGCGATCTTTCTTAGGTGGTTCTCTCTTTTTCTCTCCCCTAAACTAATGGCCTTGATTTTCTTAAGTGATCTCTCTCTCTCTTTCTCTCTCTCCCTCTCTCACACACACACACATACACATAAGCTAATTGCCTTAATTTTCTTAAGTGATTTTTCTTAAGTAGTCTCTATCTCTCCCTTTTGCGCATTTTAGTAGGCCTATTTCCTAAGCTAATAGCCCTGATTCTCTTTAGTTATCTTTCATATGTGGTATCTCTCTCTATAAATCAAATTGTCTTGATCTTTCTTAAGTGGTCTTTCTCTCTCCTAAGCTAATTGTCGTGGTTTGGTTAAGTGGTCTCTCTCTCTCTCTTCGCTAATTGCCCTAATTTTCTTAAGTGACCTTTCTTAAGTGATTTCTTGATTTTCTTAAGTGATCTTTCTTCTTAAGTGGTCTTTCTCTCACTCTCTCCCTATTAAAAAATAATTGCCTTTATTTTATTTGATTTTCTTAAGAGGTCTCTTGATTTTCTTAAGTGATATTTTCTTTGCTTAAGTGACCTTTCTTCTTAAACGATCTTTCTTAAGTGATATTTCTTTTAAAGTGACCTTTTTTAAGTGATCTTTCTTCTTGAGTGATCTTTTTTTCTTCTTGAGTGATCTTTCTTCTTAAGTGCTCTATCTCTCCCTCTATCTCTCTCTTTCTCTCTTTCTCTCTCGCATTTAGTAACTCTTTCCTAAACTAATTTCTCTGATTTTCTTAAGTGATGATCTTTCTTAAGTGGTCTCTTTCTTTTTATTAAGTGATCTTTCTTAAGTGACCTCTCTCAAATGATCTTTCGTAAGCAATTTCTCTATCTCTCTCTTGGTTTCTCTCTTTTTCTCTCTCTCAAGAGATATTTCGTAAGTGGTCTCTATCTCAAGTGATCTTTCATTAAAAATAACCTTAAGAAAACATACTTATCATAAATGGTCAAATAGTTTAGTAAACCTTTTCCTAAGCTAATTGCAATTTCTTAATCAATTGCTATAATTTCTTAAGTACAATGTTCTCTTTCTCTCTCTCTCTCTCTCTCTCTCTCATTTTAGTAAGCCTTTTCCTAGGCAAATTGTGTTTTCCGAAGCTAATTGCCCTAACTTTCTTATGCAATCTTTCTTAAGTGGTCTCTCTCATAGTCTCTCTCTATCTCTCCCTGTCATTGTCTCACTCCTAAGCCAATTGCCCTGATTTTCTTAAGTGGTCTCTTGATTTTTTTTATGTGATCTTTCTTTTTTTAAGTGATCCTTATTTTAAAGTAATCTTTCTTAAGTGACTTTTCTTTTCGTAAGTGATCTTTTTTAAGTAATCTTTCTATCTCGGGTGTGAGTATTGTGTAGCGTAAGTGTATGTATGCTATTAATCAGTGTAGTTATTGTTATTGCTATATTATACTTTAAATAATATACAAATTTTAAAAGATAATTTTGGTAAATAATAATATGTCTTGGAAAATATATTACTT